ATGAATTCACGATGTGATGGTATTCAGGAATCATCATTTTCGTATCGTCGAAATCTGTGAGTATGGGACAGTTTCAAACTAGTTTGCATGCTAATTAGTACAAACAGCACATACCGCTAACACAACTATTGGGAAAAGGATAGGCGATAGTCATTCGTCGAAGTGGACGGAGTTTTATTTTGCTTTTGTCGTTCTCAGCAACAGGTAGGGAACGAGCGAAATCGCTAGGCTTGTTCTGCTGCTTTGCTGAAGGATGACAGACGAAAAATTAGCTCTATAGTTCTATCCATTAGTTATTAAGTAGCCTATGGAATTAACTAGCACATAGAGCGCATCTTGCTCTTACTTTCTAGGCTGTGCTAATGGAATATGTCGGAAATTTCATCGTTATGCCTAATTCTGGTACGAGTTCCTGAAGTGAGTCTCCACAGCTAACACGCTCCAGCGATACCGCAACGCTTACGCTAGCGTTGTCTGTGTGCTTTCCTACGGTATTACGAGGCAGCTTGCTTGCACGTTGCCCATATAAGCACATTGAAGTACTACTTGCCTATTTTATTCATATCTAGTACTGTCGCTTAAGGCTTCAAAAAAATGTAAAAGAGCAATTTGAGGCTGTGCAGTACTCACTGTCGATTGCCGAGAGGCTGTGACTCTTTTTAGGCGTTTCCTCGTAGATTTTCGTCGAACATAGTGGCGGATTAAAGGATTGAGCTTCAAGCAGCGAACAGAGTTGTCCGATACTGCTGAAATCGAAAAAAATATGCTCTTTGAAATTGTACTAACGTTCAAAGGTGGCAAAACCCTATACCAGCAATGCTTGAGTCATTGTAAACTTGGAGGAATAATCGCCTATACATAGTAATTACTCATGGTAAAATTTCCAGACTTCTTTGAAAAAATCAGGTTCTAGGTGGAAAGAAGAACATACTGATTTCTTGGATTTGCTACTGTAAGATCCAACTGAGTTGTCTCAGATCGAATTAAAATCACTTCAACTTACAGCTTCATTTTAGAGCCAAAAATGCGCCACGTAAATAAGCTGACTTTCAAAATAATTAAAAAGCATTTCTTATCAGATTTATGTGCAAGGATAGACAAGTTTTGTTGATATTCCTGTAGTTTAGGAGTAAGCAACAGAGAAGATTTTTACTTTGAATGCGTTCAATAAAAAATTACGAAAAGAAAAGAGACCTGGAAGTTTACTGTAAAAGTAGACTACACTAACCCAACAACAGATGGAACACGGGAAACAGGTTCTGATGAAATTTGCTCCGTTTCCGTCTCCTTCTTTGGTGTCTCCTCAACCGGCTCAGGATTTGGCTAAAATTTTTCAAAAAATGGTTTCATGCAAAGGTAATTAAAGGAAATAATACTAAGGCTAAATTTGCAATGAAGGCTTGTGAATAAAAAGTATGGGAAAACCTCAAGAAAGTAAGACATACGGCGTCGATACTTATCCTTTCCTGGAGTGAAACGCGTTCTTTCGGAGAGTTTGAATTTGCTGCATCGACAATGGGACTCAATGGTGATTGAGCACATCGTGAAGTTTCGTATGGTTGAGAATCTCCTTCACGGCTACCACAACCACAGCATACTAATACATCTAAAGATAACTAGAAATTTAGTTCATTAGTGAAATTTCAGATTTTACTCAGAAAATTCATAATGAGGGGAAGAATACTGTGGAATATTGATAGTGAATAAAGAAGTAAACTAACTCATGAATTTCCCCATCACACTACCGGAATGGGGTTGGCGACAGATCCTTTGCGAAGTGGCGCCTTTTTGACATTAATACAACCGACATCATGGATTCAGTCATCGATAACATCGATTGTAGATCATCCTAAAAAGGAACATTTTTATGAGATGCTAAATGCCCTAAATCCCTATATCTCTATGCAAAGGAAGGGGAGAACTTTCATAAGGCCTTGAGTTTGGCACAAAACTGAGGAACAGATAAAGGCCGTTCCAATCGTTGAATGAAGTTCAACTGGTC